CCCCCTGTCCCGAGTGCCTCGGGACCCCCCCAGGTTGCTCCTGGCTGGACGGGGGCACAGGCCAGCTCCTGCCCGCTGGGCGCATGGGGGCAGCGGGTGGCCTGTGTCCAGCTCTCTCAGCACAGCAGGGACAGTGGGTGGCCCATGGCCAGCTCTCACGGCACAGCAGGGGCAGTGGCCCCGGAGCGGCTGGAGCATGCTTGCAGTTCGGAGCGGGATGAAAGCCAGGGGAGGAGTTCGAGGAATAAACCCCGGGCTGTTTAACACAATGGAGGTCTTTAAAGTGGATTTTGATGTTGTTTTAAAGTTAACTCTCCCAATAAGTTAGATGACACCCCCCCTCATGGCTGTTTACTCGCTCTCCCTCATGCTTCAGCATCGATCCCGTGTCCCACCATTGTGTTCCTGCACAACCTCCAGTAGGTGCTTCCCCAACGCCTTCCCACTACTCCTGTGCTTTAAAAGAGCCATGGGCAGGTGCAAACCGACGGAGGGTTTAAAAGCTGCAAACACCAAAATGCCCAGTGAGATCGGAGCGTGACCTGCTCCGCGGGGCAGCGGCCGCTCTTTTCCCGTGGGAGCTATCAGGAAGATGAAAGCCACTGGCCGTACCTGCGCCGGGCCGCGGCGCTGTGAAATACAATCCGCTCATTAGCTGCCACGACAAAGAGGTTTCCGCACGCCGGCTGGGCGTGAGGCAGCTGCCTGCTGAGAGAAGGGCCGCACCACCACAGCATCAATCGAAGCTCCAGCTGGCAGCTCCTCAGAGAGCCAGGAGTCAGGGCTGGGTTCCCCAGAGCAGCCCTTGCACCTCCTCCTCCCCTGCCACTGCTCGTCAGATGAGAGGATGGCGTGTTTCGGCATGCTGAGCTGAAGCTGAGCCTTTTACAGCAGTATCCTTAGGTACCAGGGACCCGCACGGTCCAGGGAGAGTTTCCTGCGTGGTCCAGGGATGGTGTGGCAATGCAAATACAGCCCTCCATCCTTGTGCTAAACAGTTCCCCGTGTAACCAAGTGATTTGTAGTCCATCACTGTATGAGCACTGCTCTGCTGCCACAGAAGCCCTCCTCCCTGTCCTTCAGCTGGGCCCCTCGGCTGCTGCTGGTCTTGCTCATGTTAGTACTGTCTCTATTAGGGCATGTTACAGCGAGTGGCATAAGGAAGCTCATAAAATGTGGGGGGTGTGCCACGTTTGAGGACCAGGGAAAGCAGATAATGGGGTTTACTTGGTGGGCACCGCCGTGGGACTCAGCTTCTAAATCACCACATCTCTTTCTGCCTCTCCCCGGGACTGCAGTGCCGGGGGAACTTGTTATGTACAGGGGAAGGAGCAGGGAAATCACTGCACCGCTCTAAGTGTAGCAGGATGCTAGCCGCTGTTACGGGGCCATGCTGTAAGCTAGCGAGGGGTACCGGCACGTCAGGTGGCAGAGAGCACGGCCGCTGTCTGGGCAGCAAATACAAGCAGCCTGGTGAGGCTTGAAAACAAACTTGTAAACTCTGGCTGTTTCGTTGGGAAATGCAAGAGCCCCTGGGAATAGCTGCTCACAGGCAGGGATACAGCAGAACCTCGAAAGCGGAGGTTTAAGCTAGTCCTTCCCTGGCTTTGCCCCGCAGTGGTTTGCCAGTGCAGTGCAGCCTGGCTCCTCAAAAATGGTCTCAGGTGGCAGTGGTGTGGCTGAGTGGCACTGCAGGTTCACGGAGAAATTAGGGAGATGCTCAAACCTCTGCTGGGCTTTCCACATACAGCTGTCTCACGAGCTAAGCAGCACCTTGTGGATTCTGGGGCATCTTGCAAGGGGCAGTTGTGCCCCCATCCAGGTCCTTCACCCATGAGAGAGCAGCTCTGGGTTCCTGTCCTTGCTGCCAGAATTGCCTGTCCACCTTTTCCTCAGGAGTGGTGCAGAGATGCCTCTCTGAGCCTCTTTCCAGGTGCAGATCCGAGGAAACAAGTTTCTCTTGCTGGACTAATGAGGACCAAAACAGGAGAAACTGGGTGACACGAGATTCCCTGGCCTGGGCATGGGGACAATCAGGCTGGGGAACAGAAATGCTCCTTCCGACCTTAATGCAACTGATCTCCAGTGTTTTAGTGCCTTGTTATTTTTGAGATGTATTTTTTCCATGTATCGTTGGAGTGCTTTTTGTTCCTGAGTGATCGGGGCAGCCAGCTGTATAATAACCAGGGCTTGACCACATGGCTTGTGCTTGAGAAGCCCTTCAAGTAAAGCCTCTCACAGGTACGTCAGTCTGCCTCTCTGTACCTAAACCTGCACCTACATGTGTGCATGTGTGTGGGAGTGGGGAGCGGAGGAAAGGACGGCAGGAGCAGCACTGATATTCGCCCTTCACAGGGCAGTGCCTTTGAAATGCCGGTCTGGCATTTAGTAGCTCTAGGCTCATTTCAGGCATGCAGTGTCCGTACTCCATCTCTCCTTAATATCACTCTGAAACAGTCCAGAGGCATGTAATACATTTATTTCACCGGAGAGCCCCCCAGGTAGATGTGAGCTTTCTCTTCAGATTGCTCGAGCATGTTAAAGACCTTTCTGCGTGCTCTTCCATGTGGCATTCATCTCTTTTTTATCCATCCTTGGTAGTAATTTCTGCTCCCTTAATGCACAGTGCTGTAAGGTTATACCTATGTGTGGAAAAACTTGGGCAAGTTCCTAGGCAGGGCCAGAGTAACAAAAAACCCATGAAAAAGCCAAAGCTGAAATCCAGACTTCCATCTCCTAATGACTGTGGCTCCTCTTGGACCTTCTCCTAAAGACTGTGGACAGTGAGATACTTGGTGCTCCTGGGTTAGGTAGATGCTAAAACTTCCTTTCTGCGTATAAGTTTCATACGCAGCATGAGAAAGACCCAGAGGGATCAGAGGGTGAAGCGACGGCAGGGGCTGCCTGCTCAGCTGTGGTAGTAGAAGACACTATGATATTGCCTGTGAATTGATGGCGTCCTTGAGAAAGCATCGCAGCGGTGTGGAGGTCGGTGCATGATGGTGCCGTGGTCGGACGCTTGGATGCTGCAGGTAATTTTTCACCTCCTTTGCTTAGCCCAAAGGCACTGAGGAGCTCAACGGGAAAGTTACTGTCTGTCCTGGGGGAGGGAGGACCCTGGGCTCCTATCAGGTCTGTCCTTAGTGATCTGTCCCCTTTCTATCTGGGCTTTCATAAAAGCCCTGGTGTGAACTAGCTCAGTGCCAGGGTACCACTGTCCCCAGCATCCTTTGGGGTCCCTAGGGCAGAGCCGTGGTGCGAGCTGTACCCTTGGGCTGCACCTGGCGATTCAGTACCGACGGCGCCTTCCCGACATGTCCCGAGCACCTCCCCGGCGGGGCACGGATTGAGCCCCCCCATCTCCCGGTGCACATTGGCGAGGTGCTTGCTGCGCCAGGTGCCAGGGGTGGGAGCAGGTCCCCCAGCCATGTTCCCGCCTGCCGCACATAAGTGCTCCCCAGTGCGCTCATTAGCTGAGCTGGCTTGGCCAGCGGCACTGCTAATTGCAGCTGGAGGTCCCAGCCGTCACCCCGGACAGTGCCTCTCCCACCCCTGTGCTGTGTGGGAGATGTCCCTCCCCAGGCGGGGGCTGCGGGGACCGGGTCCTCACCCACCTGCACCCATTCCCACCCTGCCATCCGCTCACCCAGCTGCGAAGAGGAGACTCAGCATCCATAGGGGGAAGCGTACGGAGAACCCTTTCCCGCATGCTCCCACCGCCGAGCCTGGCCAGCTGGATGCGGGGACGGGGGAATTCGGCCCCGCTGCTGCGCCGGCCCCTCTGCACGCCCAGCGTTGAGTCACCGGGCTG